TTCCCCTCCAATAAATATTGTTTTAATACTTCGTTATACAGGGTGTCCTAGACCATCCGTAACAGGTCTTTTTCTCGGTTGGTTTAGGTAGTACGAAGTGGGGGACCGCGGGGTTATATTGGGAATTGACCCCAAGGAATCCGAATTTCACGGTCCCGAAACCCCCCATGCCCCCCCCCCTTGGGAGGTAGGTGCCCCCCTTGGGGTCATGATTCCAAAAGTCGGGAGACATTGTGCCTCCCCCTTTTACGCCCCGAGGGTGGCTAGGGGGGCCTCGGGACCATAAAAATCGGATTCCCTGGGGTCGATTAACCGGGAAATCATCTTTTTCCGGAGAATCTACGTCAATTTTTGACCAAAGGGAAATTATGAAGGAGGCCGATGTCCCCGTTTTGAAGAGATCATTTTTGGGCGCAAAGTGACGTAGACCCTTACACTCAAACCGTTCGCGAGATATCGATTTTTAAAGTTTAAAAAAAATTGCAACTTTGCCCCCCTGCCCCCTCCCCCCTAATTATCCGAGGGGGCTGAAATTTTGCCCAAGCGTCGGGGACACTTAGTACAACATCTGAGCAACGTTTGGGCCGAATCCAGGGGGGGGGGCCAAAATCGGCGTTTTTGGAACAACCTCTTTTACGTTCGCGCAAAAAACATTGAAAAATTTCGAACAAAACCGAATTTATGGTGGTTTGAAACCAGGTCAATAAACATACAAGTCTCGAGAAAAAGTTTTTTAAAACTGCAATTTATCAGTCATGTTCATGGCACGCAATTGCCCGATTTTAATGCAGTTTTAAGTCTTTCACGAATAAAAAAATAACCTCATTTTCCTAAATGATAGAGGAAGTTACCATCGAAATTTAAAAATCAACATTTTTCAACAAATTCACCCGACGTCACTCGACCCATGTCTCAGCCAAAGTGGACAGAATGTATTTCCTCCTTTATTTTATATTTTTAATCTTTCATGTTCTTGTTTGTAATTTATTTATTCCTACGGTACATTATTGTATCCTAAAAAAGTCTACATCGTCTCGTGGTTGATAAGCAATTGAACCATGCCGAACTCTGTTGTCAGGCGACTAAAGAATTCACTTAACAATTTTGACAAACAAATCCGACGTAATAAAAACGTGGTTTTTTTTAGAGGAAAAATATCGCATGCCAGTGCAGTTTCAATATCAGTATCGAATGCTATATTTTTCCTCTAAAAAAACCACCCCTTTATTAAACTGAATTTGTGTGTCAAAATTGGTAAGTGAATGTTTTAGTCTCCTTACAACAGCATTGCGATCTTAAACTTCGAGAAGAATGACGAGTAGCTGAAAAAATAGAACCAATCGATGCGATACATCGTATGTCGTTCTGACACGAAACATGGCGTCCATCGAATCACCTTAAGAAATGACGTAACAGGATATTCGTGCATAGAATTTGAGTTGTAATGAATGTATTCTTTGAATTAAAATTTCAAGATAAGTATGACACACTCTCTTAAAAACAAGCATCCAAAAAATTTGATATTAGCGGAAGACAGTTGGTTCCTTTTTGAGGAAGAGTCCCCAAAAACGGTGTCTACAGGTCCGGAAGATTCTGAATCTCCGGGAATAATATTGAATTTTTGAGAGAAATCCGAAAATTCTTAGAAAGCATGGAAATTACGCAAGAATTTCAAGCTACCTATTTTGATTTGCCTCTCTTCAAAAAAATAAAAGTTGAGTGGGCATTTTGAAACACCGCAATGGAGATACGTGACATCGAACTTTGACAATTGGTATATGCATTTTGCGACTTCAGCCATCGATACATTTTGCACAAAATTCAACATTTCTCACAACTCTTCGCAAAAAGTAGATTGATTTCCGATATCTATTGCCCTCTATGCAATGGATGCTCTAGGCTCCACGGGCGAGAGGTTGCATTATCCAAAAAAAATAATTTCACAACTTATATACAATTTCGGTGAACTTGCTCGCCGCATCTTAATTTAACAGTTTGGGATCGAAGATTAGGGCGACCCATCAAGACTGATCTCTCCTCACAAAAAAGTGGAGTGAAAAGGTTAATCTTTCTATATTATTTACTGGAGGCACTCTTCCTTCAATTTAATCTGTCGATAAAAGATTGCACTTAAAGTTCCAGCGTCGCTTGTAGGCGGAATGGGTCCGCTTCGCAGAAATTGTCACCATGAAATTCTGCCGCGGCGTCAGATTACGGCTTCGAACAAAATCCCTGGTTTTCGTCGAGCATTTTAAATGTAAGTTCGTGAAATTTGACAACTGCGCTCATGACCTGTAACTGTTCCTTCGTAGAACTTCTTTGAATTCTGTTTTCTTTTGAATTCCTGTTTCTATTTGAAAATATGAAAATGGTTCAGCAGAAACAGTAAATGTTGTATTCAGCATTGCAAAAATGCGACCAGCAATTTTTCTAAAATAAACGCGAACACTGAGTCAAATGCACTAATCACAGGATTAAGTTTTGACAATTTCAGGATAAAAATCAGCAAACAACAATAATAATACGATCCACCCAAGTACCAAATTTCTTCGTCCAATATCAACGAAAATATTGCCCCCGAGATTAAGTCCATCGCGGTATTGCATAGCATGGTTTTTTCCACCCTGAGTTTATCCGTGTTTAAGTTGAGCTACCACTGCAAAAGAGTGTATTACTGACTGAAAAACCCATGGTAAGCTGTACCGCGGTGGATGAAGGTTTTTGCAAGCGACGATATCTTCGTTAATATTGAAAGGTAGAATTAACTTATTGGTGTTTGTACAGATCTTATTATTTTTTGGTGATCTACGAATAATCAAAACACGATCCTGTGACAAACACAACTTACTCATTGTTCTCGTTTATTAGAATAATAATTGCTCGGTCGCATTTTTGCGACGTCTAATACAACATTTACTGTTTCTGTTGAACATTTTTCATGACTAAAAATAGAAAAAATGAATTTAAAAAAATAGAATTCAAAGAAGTTCTACGAAGGAGCATTCACAGGCGAGGAATCAGGCGTTCGGACAGATTTAGCTATTCTTTCTAAACTCTAAGCTTTAGCCATCGAAATGAAACTCTGTGATCAGCGCAAGACCAATTGAACGTAGTGCTAAAAGGAACTATGTGCCAGTGGCGTGCGGTGGGTTTAGTGACAGGGCAAGCTCTAGCGTTCGCCATCCGGGGGGGGGGGGGGGGGTTTAACGTAGTCTCTTTCCCTTCCTCCTCCCCTTAGCCTCCCTAGAAAATTCTTAAAATTTTACTCTATATGCTCTGTTTTTCGGATGAAATCTGATGGAACGTCTTGAAAAACTGTGGCTTTATTTCTTTCTCTCTTACTTATGATTTCGTTTACTCAACTTGTTTCGAATGTTATTGATCATTGGAGGACGGCTCCATGCTCTTAACTCCTAATTTTGCTTTAAGAATTTTTTGAGTTACTTAAATTTCCCCAAAAATTAGCTTTCTGCATTTAAAACATGATTCAGAATTGTCTAATTCATCAGCAATTAGATCCAAGAGAGCGAAATTTTATAGAATTTAAGGGCATTTGCTCCGGAGGAGCAATTACAACCGCGACGGAAAGAGGGAACAAGATAGCGCATCGGAGGCAGAAGCAGCGCGCTGCGGTGACGGGCCATGAGATGGCCAAGAGAAGCGAGCTGCGATCGCGCAGCGAAGGGCTCGGACTCGGAACGTACCGCCCTACCCGCCCGCCTTGATTCCGCCGCCGAGCAGTGGCTCTCCGCTCAGCTAATCGCAAGCGATTCTCCAGCGCATGAGTCGGCCCGTGTTTAGGCCGCGCAGCGCGCTGCGCCACCTCCATCCGCTCTCTCTACGTATTTCTGTGTCTCTCTCTTTCTGTTTTCAATGCAATTTACATACTGAACACCTTTTATAAATTATATTTGCTAAAATGTAAAAAATGCATGTAACAGGTGTAATTTTCTTCTTTCTTTCGAAATCTTTGGGCAAGCAGTGCTTGCCTTGCTTATCCGGACCGCACGCCACTGCATGTGCATAGGGTATGTGTGCAACATAGTTCCTTTTAGCATAAACACGTCCAATTCGATGGCGAAACTAAAGAAATGCGTATCTCGGTTTGCGGCATTGCAGACTTCCTATCATACTTAATTTCCTACATGGAAAACTGCTAAACGTCATTGTTTGAAAATCTCTGTGATATTTCCTCTCTTTGCGAAGAAAATTCTGTGAAAATTTCAAATCTTGATGATGGTTTAGGCTCCTTTTAAAAAATAAAACAGGAGAAGAAATTTCGAGACGCCGCAACTGAGATACGCGTTTTTTGCAGTTTCACTGTTTATTAGAAAAGGTCACGGAGAACTGACTCCTTGAAGCGACCGGGGAAAATTATATTTCCACCGAAAAATATTCAGGATTGCAAAATCTCTATTATCCTGTGATCCTACGATTGCAAGCTCGTGGTGAGCATCGGTCGGAAATTGTGTACACCGGGATAGGTTCGAAACCAAAAAATTACGGCTTTCCAACCACTCGAGAGCGCGCCGTGGTATACGCGCAATGTATGAAGTATCCTGCGGACTTGTAAGGCGCTATACTATGCATCGCGCGCACCGTGCTGTACGCGCAAAGTATGAAGTATCCTGCGGATTTGTAAGGCGCCGTACTATGCGTCGCGCGCACCGTGCTATACGCGCAATGTATGAAGTATCCTGCGGACTTATAAGGCGCTACTATTCGTTTTGCGTCGTGCGCGCCAGCCCCGCGCCGGCCGCACTATGTTTGTTGTTAACAAATGTTCCAACTGATCCGGGTGGTGTGATCTCCCTGCTTTCAAGTCCTTCAGTGTTCTGCTTGCTGAAGAAAAATGAGGAACAAAAAAAAGAAAAAGAAAATAATATTGTTTTTAAAATGGTCGATTCTTGCTTAAAATATATCCATTTCCTCAAAAATAATTCATTCAAGTTTTCAAATTCATAGTCATAAGTAATGAACGAATGTATATTAATACTTACATCGACATGGACGCCAGGAACGGGAAACGTTAAGACCTGCGGTTTATCTTTAGGCAAGAATCTATAGAATTCATGGCCATCTTTGTACCATTTGACGGTGTAGAGCCGGCTGCCCTCTAGATCAAATTTACACTCCAGCAGTGTTGAGTTGCCCTTGACGGTGTGATGGTCCACTCGCATCTCTACCAGTCGCAAACAGTGCACAACTCCTGTTAACATAAAGTATGATGGAATTAATAATACGAAAACATGCCTCATTCATTGATTAATCATTTCAAAATTTCGAAAATCATTCACCGTTGAATGATATTCAACGATTGTGCCTTTTTTAAAAATGATATTCGACTTCTTCGTTGGTCTGACCGGAGACCGTTGAAATCCATCAATTTGAAATTTCGAATTCACCTCGGGACTTGAATTCGATTTTTGAATTGATGCAATCGATGCCAGAAACTTCATCCTTCACCAGAATTTTTGTTTCGTCATTTTCTTCTGTTTTTGTGTTTTGTCAACTCAAGTCTGGTGTTTTTGTAATTTGCTGTGTTTTGGTGTTCCGTGTTTTATTATTTCCCCCTTAGTTTAAATTTAAAAAAAATCTGAACTCTGATTGGCTTCTGCTATCACCGATCATCGGCATCACTCAGCACTGATCAATTCGTTTGATGAATCATATTCCGCGCGAATTCGCTTCTAGTAAAATATTTACAATTTTTCGACAAATTTTAATTTGCGCATTGTGGTCAAATTTTCGACATTTTTTATTATCGCAGCTCCTCATGGATCGGAAGATAAATTGTTTTCCAACCAATCAGAAGCCTTTTTACAATCGCGTTAACTCTCAGCGGAGGGATAAGACGTGCCCCTATACAATGATGATAAAAAAAAAGAAGAAGAAAAACCTTGGGAATAAAATGAATGTACAACTTTGCAGGCTCGATCGTAAATTGAAACGAGATGAAAAGAGGCCCCCCGCGTGGGGACACCGGGGCGAGGGGGGAGGGAACCAAGTTTGAGATACGGACAAGGTTGCCAGACCCCTCGCTAAAACCCGCATTCAACGCAGAATCCATCGGGTATTTCAAACGATATCGCAACGTCGGAGAGATACGAGGCAACGGCGACACGGCAGAAGTGGCAGCATTCGTTGTTTGGCTTACATTTTAATTAACTCCTTTTGTCTTCACCGCACCCCCTCCCTCCCCCCTCCGCCGCTCCCTTCCTAGGCGCATTTTCAAAATAGGAGAAAAAAAACCCGTGTCGCATAGTGTCGCGCCATTTCGCGCGAGCTGGAAGATGATAAAGATACGCGGATGAAAATTACGCGTTCTTTTTGTTCCGTGTTTGTCCTCCTGGCGAGAATTTTTCGTCGCATTTGCATGCGTATGCTCAATTTGCCCTCTCCGCGGGTTCGTTTATTTATGAGTGGTGGTGGCGAAGGAGGGGGGGGGGGCTCGGGAGCTCCGTGGAGAGCCGCTAAATGAAAAATGCGGAATGAAAGGAGGACACTACAGTTTTCCTAACCTCTCGGTGTCGCTGGGCCTCTTGTCTTTTTTTTTTTTTTTTTTTTTTTTTTTTTTTTTTTTTTTTTTTTTTTTTGCGGTCGGCCTCTTGTCTTGCACGTTGAACCGCGTGTATTGCATGGTCAGAAATCGTCGTTTTCCGGACGAAGAAACGAAATTCTATTCCAAGGTTGCAAAAACGACTGAATGTTTTACAAGAATGCACCTGTGGAATTTTTGTTCAACATCTGACTGATTTTTGCATGAGGTCAGAGAAAAAATCAGTAAAATTTGAAGTTAAAATGCCCATGGTTCTCTTGTTTAGAATGCAATTTGCGCAGGGAAATGTCGCGACATTGAAATTTAGTTACATTTTTTCGTGAGGGAAACGGCGAAATGATGTCTTCAAGCTGCTGCGCAAGGCTCTAAGGCGTTTTTTGACTGAAACTTTAAGGGTAGCAGAATCGACACAATTGTGGAGATTTATAGGTTACGCACGTAGCTTCATCGCCTTCAATTGCCAAGGTAGGCCAGAATACATACATCGTGCAGCGATATGTATCTACAAGTCTAAGGAGGGTTGGGTCCTGATCTTGCCGCGCAGTGAATTAAGTTAAATTACACCTGACGATTTTAATACTAACTATGTGTTTCTGTCCAAATCTCTATGCTAAATCATAAATATTATTCATATGTATACATATAGTAGTCAATTCTGCACCACAGTGGACAGCGACACGTGATCCCTACTGGGATCTGTCAGGGTAGAAATTTACCGGAAGCCGGGAAATCTCTATCTCTCTTTGGATGCCATCTATCCACCTTTTTGAACAGATTCTTGCATGAACCGGCGTGTTAAAAAATGCTGTTTGGTTCACACTTTCTGCGAACAAGAGGCTAGGAATGCGCCGTTCTAGGATTGACTTCAGCGGCGTCCCGGCCCATAGCTACTCTATTTTCCTCTATGATTCTATGCAAGGAAGCAGTGTGAAAAAGCCAGAGGTTATTTTTTACTTTATATGTATTTTTTTACCTGTTCTTCTCAAATTGTCACTTGCATTCTCTATATTTGCTTATTAATTAGATTCAGCCGTATTTTCAACTCATTTCCTTCATGTATGCTGGGTAAAGGGAGCATTCATTCTAATGATTGTTCCTTTAAATCCAGCGACTTTACAAATCTTGTAATATAGTGAATTGAAACTTCCCACCTGTTTAAAACCAAGACGAAATCGAGTCAAGGCAGTCATTGAAAACAATCTTCATCATGTGGCGAATAACTAGAATTTTAGCCTCATCGATGGCGCATCGGATGCCGCACGTGCGGAAAGAAAGAAGAAACGCCTTCAATCTTTTAGATATGCAACACGCACATCCATAGAGTACGAATAGTTGTATCACGGCGCCTTGATCAACGTCCCATTCGCGTCCTATGAGTTGCTCAAGCTATCAATTCTGCCATGCTCAGGATTAACGTAGTTTGAGCCTTCGGATTATTTGAAATTTCGTACGATATGAAACAACTTTTCCTCTTTTTCCTAAGTTTAACATGTATTGGTAATCGTGAATCTTTTATCCCCCAATTGTTACTTCCAGTGGCGTGGCGTGCTTCGCGATATATCGACTGATCTGCCATTTAAACATGTGGAAAATGATCGATTGTTAGGGTGTTCGCAACGAACACCTTAATAATCGATTCTTTACCATAGCTTCAAATGGGGAAACATCGATATATATCGAAGCACGCCACGCCACTGGTTACTTCCCTGGAAGGAATAATAAATTGTTCATTTTTGTAAATCAAAAGAAAAGAAATAAATGTATGAATAAATTGTCATTTTCAAAAACAGTTTCCCTGAAAAATTTGCATCCTCTTTTCGATATTTAGTGTATTTTCTCCACTATTTTCAAAATTACAGGCTAAATTCCCTCTCGTAGGGGATGGCTCACACCATTTACAGACATCAAGCTGGTGGGGGTTGAAAGCGTAATTGTTCGTGAACCATTGAAACGATTTATGCTCTCCCTCGCCAATGAACTTCAGCAAACACCAACTATTCCGACAAACCTCCTCCTCCTACGCTTGCAAACTCCGTCAAACCGAATCATTTCTAATTAATTGCCATTGCCTTGGTCTCCTGCCATCATACTAAAATCTCCAGTGATTTCCTATCGACTCGTGGCCGGTGATTGGTGCCCCGATTAGGGAAACAAGGAATCCCTCGGAAAATAAAGTAAATAAAATAAGTAAATAATTAAATACAAATCCACCCCATTCTTCATTCGCCAACCCTTCGATATACCGTTTACCGTTTTTCATTCCTCTTTATTATCCATCCCTTTCCCGCTCCGTTTCCCAGAAAACCGAAAAAAGGAAAAATGCCAGATGAGAAAGTAAAAACCCTTTATTTTCTTCATAAATTTCCATATTTTTTCCGACGAATCGGCATGAGCCCCACGAATAAATTACAGGATTGCGGGCGTGAATTCTCTAAGTTGTATAAACACCAAAGAGGGGAAGATGGGGGAGGGGGGATGAGCATACCTGATTCGCGATTCGTCTCTTCTCTCCCTTTTTTTCTTATTATTTTTTTCTCCGTCGCAGCCCTCTCAATCTTGCCTCCGATTAGCGTCGCGATTGAGGTTAAGCGAAGCGCGATTTAATTTCAAACTCCACGGTTGAAATTCTTGTTCAAGTTCATTTCGGAGGGATTCAGTCGCCCCGTTGTAACAATCCACGGGAGCTCATGAATTCGCCCTCCCGAGACTTTCAATTACCGAGCGTGGGATGTTAGAATCGTTGGCGGATTCAGCGAATTGGCAACATTGTTTTTCTCCATTTAAACCTATGGAAATGTATCGATTCTTGAAGGGGCCGGGTGTTCCGACAAGAATCGATTATTTAGCATAGGTTCAGATGGAGAGAATCCGGTGTCGCCAAATTGCTGGATCCGCCTCCGGTTAGAATTGATATGCAGTGAGGGTAATTCGAACAGACGGATTACGGTGAGGATCGTCCGGTATAACTTTCGGGAAGAAACAAAATATTTCACGGAAAATTACGATGAGGTACCCAGCTAACATGAAGGTCATTTCGGAAAACATCATTCGTCAACTTGCTAGAAAGAAATGGAACCTACATGAAAAATTACGATGGGATACAGGGATATATTTTCAAACTTAGGTTTTTCTAATAGATGACTTTAGCATGTACTTTCCTCTGACCTTTTCAGATTTCTCCAACCGATTATAAAAATCCAGTTCTCTTAGATCAGTGACCTATTTTCCGTCGTACACAGAATAATAAAATTAGCACTTATACTTTTAATTTTGAAATCGACTTCAAAGTTCTAAGAGCCGTATTCATAGTCGCTCCGTACACAGCTGCTCCTTTCCTCGGGAAACCCCTTTTGATTTTGATTGCGCTTAGGGAGGCTTTAAGAAGCCCTTAAAATAGCATTATAAAAAAGGCCAATTATGCCAGCCTCTAGTGAAATACAGCAGTACAACTTTGGAAATGGATTCTTGCATATTACAATTATTTGCCACTGCAAAAATGTAAAAATACGGAAGAAAAAAGTCTTTTTGACAAACTTTAAGAGAAAGGCTGCGAACATATCTTAAAATTAACCAAACTCGCGATATTTTCTTTAATACTTCACATTTTTCACATTGATGAATCATTGTAATCATTTGCAAGGGCCAATTTC